ACGTTCCTCCTACCTTCCCACGTTCCTCGCGCGGGGGAGGGAAGGTGCATCGCTGGCCACGCCTACTCACTGGTCCACCACCAAACGCTCCTAGCAAAAGTTTTTGGATGGAGGAACCTTAAAGGCTGATCATTCAGGCTAGTAATTAAGGCTGAATTGGACTGAACTACCTTTTGAGAGTCTCACTGACAGACTCCGCCGTCGCAGGGCTTGGTGGTGTCCTGGCCCGTGCCGGCCTCACCCCCTCCTTCCGTTAATGGACTAAATGTGACATTTATTCATCAGAGTTTAAAATTGAGAACTTGATTAATGTTTGTTAACAACAGTGGGCGTCGTAGTGTCGACATATTCCCAACTTCATGGACGCGTGCAATGGCAAAGATATATACCCATATTCCACAGTAACAAGATGGACTAATGCTTGAGGGCCATGAAGGCCTCGAGCATGCTCTCCGGGCAGCTTGATGGCCTCCAGATGCTGAATAATGTAGCCAGAACTCTAGTGTGGTTATGGTGGATCAGCATATCAAGTTCGATAAGTATAACAGAGGATCTAAAATGGTCCCAGAAACCTGGGCGATCTGAAAGCCTCATATTTGACCTTGAACAGTGCATTGAAAGTCAAAAAATGGATGCAAGAACCCATTTTTTTCTGATTCCAGATATTCAGAATTCAAGCTTATGCAGGTAAAATCGGGGCTTAAATGTCCTGGGTTTGACAAAGTACATAAAATATCAATTATGCTGCATAATGCTGCATAAAGTTATGCAGCATTAATGCAAACAGGGCGAGACATCGTCCAGAACACTAGAGCACAGAGGCTGGCCAGAGGCCCATGACCAGCTCTCCTCCATAACATCCCGGTCACGCAGGAGTCGACCCACGACTCAGGTTCTGAGCAACTTGGCCATCTTCGGGAAAGTCCAGATTATTGTCAAAAGTAACAATTATTTAGAAAGTTCCAAGAGCGTCGCTGTCATGATGAGGCGGTCGTGAGGCCGCGCTAGATGTAGACGGCGCCTCATTAGTCTTATTGAATTGACTATAGTGAATCTATAACAGTACTGAATCCTATCCAGAGTATTAGTGAATCAAGGGGCACCATACAACACAAGGGGCACCATACAACACAAGGGGCACCATACAAGACAAGGTGCGCCATACAAGACAAGGTGCGCTATACAAGACAAGAAACACCATACAATTAAACATGGTTGAATAGTTCCCAATAAATAATGAAGAAGGAGGAGCCAGCGCCCTACACCGCCCGGTGTCCCCCCCCCCCTTCACTGATGCAACATTGATTGTCTGCACATAAACAACGTCATTCACATCCTATTCTCATAACTCCATCGTGGGTGATCAGTGTATATTGGTAGCCGTTATCTGTCTCTTGTATCCATCTCCCTTATGTATATATATATATATATATATATATATATATATATATATATATATATATATATATATATATATATATATATATCGTCCTCCCGTTCCGTTTGTCTTGTGTCATTCTTTCCAGGAGAGTAGGTCTCTTATGTGCTAGCAGGGCCGAGCTAGGCTCCTGGCCCCGCCTTCCGAACGTTCTTAGATTGATGCAATGACTTCTTTCTCACCCTTCTGTCATATTTATATTTCTAATTTTAAATCGAGTCAGCTTCAACGACTTGTGCGTCTAACCCATTCCACTTGTTGACAGCTCTAATAGTGGAAAAGTTATTTCTGACGTCGTTTATGCGACTCATTTGTCTCTAGTTTCCACCTATGACCCCCTCCCCCCCCCCCTCTCGTTCTCTTGTTCCCAGCTTTGAGCACTGCTGTGTGCGTGTGTGTTCACCTAGTTGCGCTTGCGGGGGTTGAGCTCTGGCTCATTGGTTCCGCCTCTCAACTGTTAACTGGTTGGATGTGTGTGTGTGTGTGTGTGTGTGTGTGTGTGTGTGTGTGTGTGTGTGTGTGTGTGTGTGTGTGTGTGTGTGTGTGTGTACTCACCTAATTGTGCTTGCGGGGGTTGAGCTCTGGCTCTTTGGTCCAGATGTGTGTGTGTGTGTGTGTGTGTGTGTGTGTGTGTATGTGTGCGTGCATGTTTGAGATTGAATAGCTCTCAATGTTGAGAATACATTGGTTAGAAAGGCGGGGTCCAAGAGCTAATAGCGCGATTCTGCAGTCACAAAGAGTACATATATTGTCCGGTAACTAGTTACCTTGTCCAGGAGAGCAAATGTTGTGAGGAAGACTTCGAAGGACTTCTTATTGCTTAGAACAATGTACAGTCACTTGTTCTGTACGGAAGCTTGGCGCTCCTCCACCAAGCTTGGCCTTACCTACCTCAACCTATGATAAAACTTAAGTGTTTTGTTGACGGGCCAGGACAGTGGTGACGGGCCAGGACAGTGGTGACGGGCCAGGACAGTGGTGACGGGCCAGGACAGTGGTGACGGGCCAGGACAGTGGTGACGGGCCAGGACAGTGGTGACGGGCCAGGACAGTGGTGACGGGCCAGGACAGTGGTGACGGGCCAGGACAGTGTTGATGGGCCAGCCCCACCCACAGGACCGGCGTCACACCCGCACCTCGAGAGAGACGGCCAGGTCCACATCCCTCACACAGCCGTGTATTCCTGGACAAGGCGAGGTGCTGCCACATGCCGATAGGGATGTGAATACACAGCGGAAGTTAACCGGAATTAGAAACTAGTGAAGAGGCATCAGGTGCTCCAGGCGCGTTGTTGGAGTCAAGCGGCCAGGGAGAGACAGACGGAAGTTCCAGGTAGCACGGGCTATGGTGAGCCCGTAGTGGACTTACCTGGCACAGGAGCGGTGCTCAATACAGGCGGAAACGAGAATATGATTTTATTCACAAGGACAGGTGGGGAGGGGGAGACTGCAGCCTTACTAATGAGACACGCTTCAGAGCTTTGGACTGCTCACAAATTATCACCGAACTCCAAAGTCTTCCTAAGCTCTATTTTTCACGAATACAAAGTCTTCCATTCCTCGAGGTAATTCCTCTATTCCTTTCCGGCACTGCTGAGTTACCTAATGATGCACGGAGCAGCACACGAGGGAGAAACCACTGCTCTCTGCTCCAACCTTAAGAAACTGTGATTAAAGACAATAATTATTTTCGAGCTAATGTTTTACTTTCACAAAAATTACACGCGCTATTGGGAGATATAATTAGTGGACGGAAGAGGTGATAGTATCAAAGACTGAGTTTCCAGTCCGGGCCTTCAACACATGGTGAAGGAAGGAACTATTTGGAGGAAGTACCAAGCCATTACGACTATATAGCACTGGGAAGGGGGTCAGGATAAGGATGTGGGATGGGACGGAGGGAAGGAATAGTGCCGAACCACTTTGACGGTCGGGGATTGAACGCCGACCTGCATGAAGCGAGACCGTTGCTCTACCGTCTCATCTACGGTGAGAACTCCGAAGACGACAGAGTACGGAATCATTATATCTCCTCTGGGTGCGGCGGTTGTGTCTCGGCCTCCTAATTCTTCGTCGCAGGTTCGAGGATCATTACTCAAACAAATATGTGCACAATGAAATCATAAGAACATACTCTATGAGAAAATATTCAGACCGTGCGATGCTTGTCTGGATACGTGGTTTCGATCCCATTGTACGCCCGCAGTATTTTCTCAGATATTATATGTACATTCATATGTATGAATATAAACATATGTATAAAATCATGTTTTAAATTTTTCGCATTATATTTGCTAGGTAGATAGATGCTTAGATTACATCGGCCTCAGATCAGGTCATTTTAGCGTGTTCAATATAAAGTATACATTAGGAGATCGTTTGTATATTAATAACGCAACCATAGATGATATTCCGAACATGTTCCAGACGCCGAGTGAGCTGTGTGTCCCTGACTATGACGACTCCTGATGTTGATGGGTAATGTTGCGTTGGATTCAGATCACGACCGAGAAGTGCGTTGATCTTAATGTTTCACGTGAAGTCGTTAGTGAATTAGACTGCCAGAGGTGATCTCATTGCCACTCTTACCCGAATTTCACATCGTATAAGACAAATTTGGTATTAGTGTCCAGTGCCATAAGATGGTCAATCTGTTGCCGTGGTTTATCATAAACCAAATACTATGATTCAATGCTTTATTGCAATTGGTAAATGTCCAAAATATTATATATGAATTATACTTCTATAGTGCTATAAATGCTATAGTGCTATAGTGCTATAGTGCTCTTCGTGTTCTACTACGACACGCGCTGAACCTGAAACATACTGTGTTGTACCTTAGGCAGGACTCGGGCCAAGTTCTACAACCAGCTAGTTTATTAAGCGCCATGTTTTCTCTATAACAGGTTCCCTTCAATCGTTCTACATCCAGGTCCAGTTCTTTTAAGGTATACCAGGAGGGGGGGGGGATAAGTCAACATACACAAGACTGATCAACCTGTTTTAAAACCTACCTAACCCAACCGGGCCTAACACAGCCTATCTTAAGCTAATATATCATGGCTACCCTGTGAAGGTTCCGTGGATCAAGGACCCCGCGGCCCGGTCTCCGACCTGATAGCCTTCCATCATAACTAAACTCTATAGATAACTCAACCTTATGTCTCAATAATTAGCAGTTACAGCCCCGCTCCTGTGCCAGGTACGTCCACTACGGGCTCACCATAGCCCGTGCTACTTATAACTTTTTGTTCCCAGTTGCTGAATCTAAAAACAACAACAATAATTAGCTATGACTTCTTAGTTGTAATGTTTAATAGGCTAACTTATAGAAAATATAGCCTGCTTTTCCTGCCCGAAACGCTTTGCGTAATAGTGGCTTTAGGCATTGTATGTACTAGCTCTATCTATAAATCTATCAATTTTTGTAAAATCTCTTGTATGTATGTACCCTACCTGAATAAACATTTATTTATTTATTTATAACTTAATTACTTTTCACAGTTAACTACCTTGCTCTATTATATTTATTCTAAGCAAGATGTCTTGCTTCTCTGTTGCAGAATGGTGGTGCTTCAGGGTCCACTCCACCCTCAGCCTTCTCCAGGACCAAGCCCAGAAGTCGCTCTCTTATTCGGAGGTCATCCAAGAAGGCCAAGCAGCAGGTACGGGATGCCCAGCCAGATGAGTGTACCCTCTCGTAACCCTGCTAGGACCCCCGCCACCCCAAGATATCAGGATGCCAAGACAGCTAGTTGGAACCCTGCTAAGATCCCCGCCACCTAAGATACCAAGAGAGACTAAGATACCAAGTTGAGCGCGGGAGACTGTCTACAGTCATGGCAGACCTGCTACCAGCGCGCACCCGCATGTCATGAAGCGTCTGATACTGAACGTTTCGCAAGTGCTGTGAAGTCTTTCAGTTTGGGGTTTCTTCTTGCCCACAGTATTCAAAGTAATTCATGTAACTATTTTGGAATGCAAGATATGGAAGCAATTGGGGAGCGAATGTAATTGGTAAGAGTGCTTTACGATTGTAAACAAAACAAAATAATGGAGCTCCATGAAATCTAGGAACAATATATATGGCAATGTCTCGTTTGCAAATCCCAATGGTTTTAATATTGTTAGGAGTTTCTCGTATCGAGTCTTAATAAAAATTACATTTTGGCCACGAGTCGAATAAAGATGTTAACTTCGACTGATCAAGCACAAAGAGGAAGTTTTTCTGAAATTTATCATAGAAAGCTTTTTGGAAAATAGTATTCCTACAGGACAGAGCTGGTCTGGACGTGTAGAGGAAATGTTAGAGAAATGGAAGGGCCAAGTTTGTGGTGTGATGATAGACCACGAGAGAGAGGGACAACATGGCGACGAACAGGGATGTCAGCTTTGCTTAACAGATTAGAAGAATTAATATTAAGAAAATGTATATTAAAACGTAATTGGCGATTTTACTTCAGAACTTCCAATCGGGAGAGAAACCATTTAATAATTTTGCTCTTAACTATCTTTAGTTTTTATTTCTATTTTACTAATTCTGAAGACGAAATGCACCGAAGCGTATAAGATGACCATGAAAGTGGACCTCACATAACACCACTCAGCTGAGCCAACAACACTGAACACACCAGTTGGTCACGGTGTGGTGTAGTGCACATGAGGAATTTACACAGCAGGGCAAAGCTCAAATATTTTAGTTTAACACGGCTTCTTTTGTAAGCCATTGATAGAATGTGTGTAAAAGTTAGATATTTCTTCTTAGGTTTGTTAAAGAAATTGCTAGATATTATGGCACCCTTGTATTTTGTGCTGTAGAAAGGGGTAATGTTGGATATTTTTAATTGATGCTTTTATAGTTTGCATATTTTCAGATGTAACAGTAGAGAAGTTGCTAACTTCTTGTGTATAGACCCGAAGAGTGACCTATATATTGTTTACCATTGAAATATATAACATTTTGATATGAATGAACGATACCTAGTTGACGTTTTGTAACATGATTAGATGTAACCTGTATTCCACTTATATTACAAAGATGTTGTACTGTATATAAAGAGCATCAAGTAATGACATCGAGACAAACTGAATAACCAGTGTGGGTAAGCTGACTTGTGGCGCCATTGTTGTGATACGGGAGCAAGATGAACTACATGGTGGCGCCATTGTTGTGATACGGGAGCAAGATGAACTACATGGTGGCGCCATTGTTATGATACGGGAGCAAGATGAACTACATGGTGGCGCCATTGTTGTGTTACGGGAGCAAGATGAACTACATGGTGGCGCCATTGTTATGATACGGGAGCAAGATGAACTACATGGTGGCGCCATTGTTGTGTTACGGGAGCAAGATGAACTACATGGTGGCGCCATTGTTATGATACGGGAGCAAGATGAACTACATGGTGGCGCCATTGTTGTGATACGGGAGCAAGATGAACTACATGGTGGCGCCATTGTTGTGTTACGGGAGCAAGATGAACTACATGGTGGCGCCATTGTTGTGTTACGGGAGCAAGATGAACTACATGGTGGTGCCATTGTTGTGATACGGGAGCAAGATGAACTACATGGTGGCGCCATTGTTGTGTTACGGGAGCAAGATGAACTACATGGTGGCGCCATTGTTGTGTTACGGGAGCAAGATGAACTACATGGTGGTGCCATTGTTATGATACGGGAGCAAGATGAACTACATGGTGGCGCCATTGTTATGATACGGGAGCAAGATGAACTACATGGTGGCGCCATTGTTGTGTTACGGGAGCAAGATGAACTACATGGTGGCGCCATTGTTATGATACGGGAGCAAGATGAACTACATGGTGGCGCCATTGTTGTGATACGGGAGCAAGACGAACTACATGGTGGCGCCATTGTTGTGTTACGGGAGCAAGATGAACTACATGGTGGCGCCATTGTTGTGTTACGGGAGCAAGATGAACTACATGGTGGTGCCATTGTTGTGTTACGGGAGTAGAACTACAGAGTCAGCCAGCCAGCACACACACACTGTAGATGCTCTTTCTGCTTCATGTGGTAAAGGCACAGTATGCTTAACTATTGTGATTTCAATAATAGACAGATGGGAGAATATGAACTAAAATTATAATTAAAACAAAAATGTATTTAGTGTGTATGTGAAGATATGCCGCGTTGATTTCAAATTCTCCTCCTCGTCTTCATGATTTAATCAGTAATTAAGTAGCTAATTTTACGCTAAGCTGCTTTCTAAACAAGACTAAGACTTGGGCTAAGAGCAGGTGTTTAACAGCTGTTATAAAAGATTGACTGGTGGTATGTTGCGTGATCCGCGGGGCGCAGGCGGCCCATCACACACTGGACACTCTACCCCAGCCCGTGTGGCTTCAAACATGCTACTTTAGAAAGTGTTGAATAATTCTATCACTTTTCGTATGTGTGTTATCCCTAATGTAAATTGAACGAATTTTGGAGCAGACATATTATATTGGACAGGTTCATTCTTGGAAAGCCACCTTCACGCATAACGTGGACATTTTTCTCAAGACATATGGCTATGAACTTGATCATTTGGAGAACCTGCTTGGGTCGTGTATCATTGAACACGCGTTAAGTTTCCATTCACCGGGGCTGTATGGGTGAATCTCGACGCTCTATCGAGACGCCTGGGGTCCACGGTTCGAGACAGCCCAGGTTATTGTTACACAATACATTTGCTATTGAAATTTAATACACCTGCTTTGTTCCCATGTACACAAACTTGTCATGTCGAGTATACAGAGAAATTAATGCTTAGAGAAGCAGTGTTCAATACACAGGCTACTGATGATACATGCACAGGCTGTGACTGATAAGTGCACATGATATTGATGCTAACTGCACAGGCTGCTGGTGCTAATTTCGCAGGCTATTGACGTTTAGCATATAGACGATTAATCTATAGAGCACATGCCATTCATGTCGTGTACACATGCTATCCATATATACTGCTCATCACCAGTGCAGCGGTAACCGATGTTTACTTCATATGAGTTCGCTTTCTCTCAGCTTAACGTTTTAAGCACGGGATATTGCTGGCTTGTCCACAACAGCAGTCATAGGCTGTAGCCAAGCTGTTAGTGTTCAGTACATAAACTATTACTGTAACTACGAATGGTATTAATATCCAGCAATGATTGCCATGATGCAAGGTCATTGATTTCTAGTTAATAAACGTTTGGTTTTGAGGATGAATAATAATGCCAGAGCCATGACTCTTATCCATCATGTCTTGGAAAATAAGTCTAGCAATTGAGAAAATGTCCCACGAAACCGTCGCCATAATGTCGAGTGAATTATATTCGTCTCATATTGTAGCAGACAATCATTTTGACTGCTCTATGATGCTTTGTATCGCATATTCTGATGGTTTCAGATCGTTTCAGTGAATAAAGTATTTTAAAATAATCATAGGTGGCTTCAAATGGTATTAACCTCGGGTTAGCTGAATCAGATGGTCCACACGCTCGTGTATATATATCCACAAATGGCCCAGGCTTGGGCCAGATTCACGAAGCAGTTGCGCAAACATTTACGAACCTGAAAATCTTTTCTCAATCTTTCGCAGCTTTGTTTACAATTATTAAACAGTTAATGAGCACCGAAGCACCAGGAGGCTGTTTATAACAATAACAATAGTTGATTGGTACGTTTTCATGCTTAAGTACTTGCGTAACTGCTTCGTGAATATGGCCTCTGGGTCTATTATCGTCACGGCATCAAGAACACTAGGTAGCTTCCGATGGTCTGGGATGCCTTTGACACGATCAAGATGATTACGGGCTCATCATAGCCCGTGCTACATGATAATGTTAGTTCCGAGTAGCTAAATCTAAAGCAACAACAGATAATGATTTAAAATAATTTTCACATTATATCAGGTTATGTTGGTTGTAGTTGGTCTATGACAAACTCAAGATTGTCCCAATTGATCACACAGGGTCTAAAAATCTTACATAGTTTTAGGCATAAATGGCGTCAAATGATTATATATGATTTCAGATTGTCTAAAATGGTATCTCACCGTCTTGAACTAATTATCAATAGTCTGAAATGTTCTCAATCATTGCAGATGATCTCAAATAACCCAAGACATCCTCAAATGGACCCAGATGGTCTTTGAACTTCAGTGGTCTTAAGTGCTCTCAAATGATTTCAAATGGTCATATAGGATGTTAAATCGCTTTGAATGGTCTTTGATAATCATAAGTGTTCTTAGGCGGCCTTATAATGGTCTTAGGTGAACCTGGACGCCCTCAGATGGTCTCAAATTATTTCAGACAGTTTCCGAAGAATTTATATATCTGATTGTATTGAATATTCTTAGGTGGTTCCACATGATCTTAGAATTTGTGGGATGACCTTAGATGGTTCTCTACGGTCTTCCGTGATCTCTGACTGCCATTTCTGATCTCGGGTACTCATTGATTTCTAGGCACGTTTTAGCTTAGTCTCATCGTATCAGATGGCCATCAAGGCAGTTCCAGACGGTCCAGAGTCTGTGTAGTAGTCACCGATTGTTTCAGGCTGAGACGGTCTCAAGTTGTCTCTGACATTTTCCCATGGGAACGCAGCCGGACCCAACCCTGCTCCCAGCCCAAGGTCTTCAGTATAGGTCTTCAGTGTTGAGCTTCAGTTCACGGACTCCTGCCAGTCGTCTTTCCTTCCTTGTTATCAACGTCCTTTTTCCACGGAGTGC